CTGCAGGGGCCCCGGGGCTCCTCGCCCGCAGGGGTCCCTCCCCCCCCCGCCCCCCGCCCCGCCCTCCCCCCGTTTGGGGCCCCCCCCCGGCCGCCTCGCCCGCCCCCCGGCCCGCCCTGCCCACGTTTGGGGTCCCCCTGCGCGCCGCCGACCGCCTGCTGGCTGTGCAGCCCAGGAGCTTCCCGGGCGGAGGGCGAGGCGGACCGGCCGCCCTCGCCGCGCCTCTGCAGGGCCCGCGCCGCTCCCCGTCCCGCGCCGGGCACTTCTTGCGCGTGGCCGCGAAAGGGGCTCCGTGGCGCCACGAGGGCGCGGACAAAGGCCGCCGCCGAGCGCGTTCCCACGACCGCCGAGCCTGCAGGGCGCTCCGGGCGGGCAGGAGGTCCTGCGAGCGGCGCCCCTTCCTTTGGGGAGCGGGCGGAAGGACCCCCCCCGCCGCCCCTCGCAAGGCTCGCCCCGCGGCACCAGGCCCGCTGCCCCGGAGTCTCCCGGCGCCGCGCCTGGCCCCGGGGAGCAGGGATCGGGCCCCGCCGCCCCCCGCAAGGCTGCCGCGCCCCCCCGCTCCCTCCCCGCAAGGCCCCGGCCCCCCGCCGGGTCCCGGCCCGGCCCTACCTGCCCTCCTCCTCTGCGGCGGACCCGGCGCAGCACCCGCGCCCCCGTCCGGATGGAGCCCCTCCTGCCCGCCCGGAAATGCGCCCGGGAGGAAGGAAGAGCCGGGCGCGCCGGTCCCCCCGGGCGTTTCGCGGGAACAGCCCCGGAGCAACGGTGCTCCTGGAGCAGCTGCGAGCGGCAGTGCAAGGGAATCTGGGCGACGGCGGCTTCGCGCGCGGCGCTTCCTTCTGGTTTGGTCCCCCGATGAGGAGCCATTGGACCTGCGCGGCTCCTCCTGCTGGACGTGCGTTGTCCCTCCCGGGAAGTCAGCGGACTCCTGGCAAAGGAGGGCTGCTTCTGTGCCTTTGTCTTACACACTGCCGACACCCCTTTCTCGGGCGGCACCCAAAAATTCCGGGCCAGCTTCCTTTTTAGCCCTTGCTGCCAGGGCCGCTGCTCTGCTGATTGCAAGAGCAGATAAAGCTGCCAGGGGAACAGCTTTGCAATCACCCTCCGTTGAATTTCCCCCTGTTGGAGAGGAAAGAAGCCCCTAAGGCTGCCCAGGTCTCCCTTGACAGGTNCAGGTCAGCTGCCCACAGCAAAGGATGAAAGGGGAGGGAACTGCCCCTCTCCTGGGCGCATGTGACTCAGAATCTGCAAAACACTCTGTGTATGTTCTTGAACCTTTTAGTTGGCCCTGGGAACCAGTACCTGGCCGCATTCTGTTCTGAGAAGCTGCAGGGCTCCTGGGTGATCTTTCAGTAGAACTGCTGTGGTTCAGGGCGAAAGGGGCCTTTCCTGACTGAACCTGGGAATCCTGGTTGCGGCTGCCCTGGAGGCTCCCCGACATCTCCTCTGCGGGGTGCGTGAGATCCATCAATTCTGGATCGCTCAGTTAGGCAGCGATTGGAAATACACCCCGACCATGAAGTTCTTCCCCTGTGCACCCAATGCGGCTTTGTTGTTTTTAATGTTCAGATAACATCACTGCAACTCTATTTTACACTGTTTTATTCATTTATACTAATTAAACTGCAGGGAAGAATCGTTTTGGCATGCGATTCAAGGTCGCTTACGTAATCCCTGAAATCCTCCCCTTCCTCTGCGAGGAACCCTCCCCTCCAGAGGCTGGGGTCCAGGGCCAAAACCTGCTGAGCGAGTGGTGGGCCGGCTGCTCCTCCGGAAGGATCAGCAGCCCTTGGATGTCCCTTCTGTCTTGTCAGGGCGACCCCCTTTCCCTTAAGGGTTAACTATTATCTGGCCAAAATGGCACCTCCTCACAGAAGAAGGGAGATATCGGGAATCCTGGGAGCTGCCAGCCTGGCAGAGAAAGGGGAAATCTTCAGTGGAAACCTTCCCGAGAGTGGGCGGAGATGTGACGCTCCAGGGGGGAAAGGGAAACACCAGGCAGACTTTCTCCCGTTTTGTCCCCCCCCATCCCCCCCCTTGCTCTTCTGAACTTTTCAGGGGGAAACTGTGTGCTCTTTCCTGGGCATCTCCCCCTCGAGGAGAGGAAAGAAGCCCCTAAGACTGCCCAGGTCTCCGCTGGACCCGTTCAAATTTTCCTGCATCTTTCCCACATCCTGGAGCCACAATGGGACAGTATTCCAGATGAGGTCTGACCATGAGCAGCGCATGGACGACTGCGGCAACAATCGCCTGTCCAAGTCGGAATGTAGCTGTGAAATCAGCCTGAGCAGAGAGATGGTGCTCCCGGGAGACAAAAGACAATTCGGGGACCAGGGGCACCCCAGGCTAAGGACCGTGTCCTCTGGGGGGAGTGCAACCCATCCAGGTCAGGCTGAAATTCGCCCGGATGGGCTGCCCACCAGGAGCGGCACCATCTTGCCTGACTCCTGCTTCAGCTGAGGGCCCCCATCCAGTCCATCCCCGAGTCCTGGCACTGGATAAGGACGGTGAGTGCCTCGCCTGGATCAGGGGACCAGGAGAGGGGGAGCTGCATAGATCCAAGTCAGGCTCTTCAGGGGTGGCTTTGCGGGAGCCAGAACCCCGCCTTCTCTCGCAGGGTCCGTCTCGCCCTCCCGGCCTCGGGGTGGGGGTGCCCCCCACTCACAGTTCTCAATGAGCCGCACTGGGCAAGGGCAGGGGGCACAGGGCGGGGGCGCAGGCTGGCCCAGACTCCGTTCTAACACCAAACTTCAAACAGGCTTGGCCGTTTGGCCCCGATGGCCTTCTGGCCCCTTCCAACTCGACTGTTCTGTGATTATGGGATGAGTCTGTTATACAAAAAGCTGCGGACATACTTCTGCTCAAGTGAAATCGACCATGGTATCCTCCTGGAGGGGCTAGTGGGACTGGGAATAGGGGGTACTGCTTGGCAGTGGGTCCGCTCCTATCTCAACGGCCGATTCCAGAAGGTGGTGCTGGGGGACTATGGCTCTGCGCCATGGCAGCTATGCCAGGGAGTTCCACAGGGGTCCATTTTGTCCCCTTTGCTGTTTAACGTCTACATGAAACCGCTGGGAGAGGTCATCAGGAGGCGTGGGCTGCGGAATCATCAGTACGCTGATGATACCCAGCTCTACCTCTCGTTTTCCACCAATTTGGGTGAGGCAGTGGCTGTACTGAACCAGTGCCTGGCCGAGGTAATGGGCTGGATGAGGGCCAATAAACTGAAGCTCAGTCCAGACAAGATGGAGGTCCTGTTGGTAGGCGGTTCGGGCTTCGGGGTGGGGGACCTTGACCTTGTCCTGAATGGGTAGCACTCCCTCTTAGGGACAGGTTCTGCAGCTTGGGAGCGCTCCTCGACCCAGACCTGTCGGTGGAAGCTCAGGTAACAGCGGTGGCGAGGAGCACTTTCCTTCAGCTTCGGCTGATCCATCAGCTGCGTCCCTACCTGGAGAACAATTGCCTGGCAACAGTGACTCACGCATTGGTCACTTCCCAACTACTGTAAAGCGCTGTACGTGGGGCTGCCCTCGAAGGCGGTCCGGATACTTCAGATGGTGCAAAACAGAGCTACCAGGTTGCTGACGGGGACTGGGCGTTGTGCTCAAATACTCCAGTCCTCCATCAGCTTCACTGGCTCCCCATTGAACTCCAGGCCCAATTCAAGGTGCTGGTTATCACCTATAAAGCCCTTAACGGCTTGGGACCTGGTTACCTAAAGGTGCGCCTGCGTCCATATGTGCCCACCCGCCCCTTGAGATCTCGGCAGCAGAGGCCCTTCTCCGGGAACCCTCCGTGAAAGATATTGGGAGGGTGAGTACCCGGAGGAGGGCCTTCTCTGCGGTGGCGCCCAACTTATGGAACGCGCTCCCCAGAGAGGTCCGCCTGGCACCGTCGTTATTTGTTTTATGTCGCCAGGCCAAGACCTTTTTATTTAAATGTTATTTTAATTGTTGATTTTATTTATAGATTCTTAATTTTTATGCCAGGAAGTCTCCAGTATTTTATGCATTTGCATAGATTTATATTTATTTACGTGTTGGAAGCCGCCCCGAGGCTTATGAGAATGGGGCAGCATACAAGTATTCCAAATAAATGAATGCTCAAGGCTGCCAGAGGGTGAGGCGGTTCCCTCGTTTATTGCAATCGGGGCAGGGCCCGCTCTATCTGAATCTCTCCCAGGGTCACACACACAGCAGCTCCTTTTCGCCCCCAACCCGTCTGCCACAGCCCCCTTTTCCCTCAGTGGGCGAAGTACTAGGGGGCTGCACCCGTTCCGTCGCTTGCTTCATGCCTCCCATCTCATCCCACGACATGCAGCACGAGAGCCCTGGAATTGGCCCGCTGTCTGTTCCAGGTGTGGGAGTCGAGATCCACCAGCCACTGCTTCAAGTCCTCCCTTTCCTCTTCTTTCTGCCCCCCCAGCAGGCTCTCCAAGGGCGTGTTTTGCCACTCCATCATCACCAGAGTGGCTCCTTTCAGAAAGAAGGAAAGTAGTGTGAGGGCGAACGCAGGAGCATGTTCAGGCAGAGGAGCAGTCCTACAATCCCCCTCATTCTGCCTAAACATGCCTCGATTTACGCCCGGACCCTTCAGCCTTGCCAAGGCGACGGCACTTCAAAAAATTCCACACTTTCTGAGACTCTACTAAGAATTTCACAAACAAATTGCATCACTTTTCCACATAGTCACCTTCCTTCGTGATGCTTTTTTCCCAGTGCCGTACCAACTTTTTAATGCCAGCAGCAATACATATATAAACTATTTCTACGAAATAAGAAAGTGCAGAATTTTCTGAAGACCCCATGTAATTAAGGGGCAGATAAAGAAGTTACTCTGCCTTGTCCTTCCTGCTAAATCTGCTTCCCAGGCATCTATGGAAACACCCTAAATTCCAGTGTCCGACCCGCACACCGGGCACACACTTCCGCGTGGC